ATAGGACAAGTATTTTAGATTAGAGGCCAAATACTAATTAAGATCTTTATTATATCTAATCTATCTAACTTTATATAAAAGCTTATTCTACTTTATTTTTAATACTAGAATATTTTATATTTTATATTTATAGTTTATTATAACTTGAATTAGTAGTAATAGTTTATTCTTCTAGCTAGGTAATAAATTATTAGTAGCCTTATATAAATAGTTAAGAAAGAATATATTATAAATCTTAATACTTTTAGATAATTCGATTTTATAAAAGTTACTAACTTAATATAGGATCAGATAAAGCCCGACTATTTAGTAGTCTAGTTTATAGCTAGAATATTATATCCTTTATTTCTTTATTAATATATATATTTTATTTTTTACTTTAAAGTTTATAGAATAATATTTAGTATTAATATATTTCTTTATTCTCTTTTATATCTGTTTTATATTTTTCTTGCTTCTTTTTATAATATTTTCTATTTGCCTAATAATTTATTAAGGCTTTATTTTATTTAGCTTATTTTAGAATACGGTTATTAAAATTAACTAGTTAAAGGAAGTTTATAAAAGCCTGCTATTAAAAAGTTTATATAGAAATATATTAATAAAGCTATATAGGAAAGTAAATGAAATATAATTAATTATTAATAAATACTTATTCTAGTTATTTTAGTAATATATAATATATAAATATAATTATTAGTTAATATATTAGTTTATAATTTCTGTTTATCTATTAGTTTATAAATAATATACTATTAATAGCTTTAGCTTTATATCTAGAATTTTATTAAACTTTATTTAGAATACTAATATAAATTATAGACTATAATTAGAAATAATAGAAGTTAGAGAATTATAATAATAATAGAGAATTTAGAGATATATTTTTATTATATTTTTTATTATAATTATTTTATAATAAGATATAAAGATAACTTACTTATTTAATTAGTTAATTATAATATATATAATATTATAGCCAGATTTCGAATTAGATATTAACTTGAAATCTATTATAATATATTACTATAAGTAATCCGAAACTAGTAAAAAATAAAAAAAACCAGAAATCTTATTTCTTAATATATTTATTTATTTATATAATTAGTATTTATAAATATATTAAATAATATTATATTATATATTCTTCTAATAATACTATAGCTATAATAGTTTATATATTTTATTTTTACTAAAATATATTATAGAGATTTAATTATAAGCTTTATAAATTAAATTTATATATAACTATTTTCTAGATATTATAAGTTATTTATAATATAATAGTAATCTATTCTTTATAATAAAATTAGTATTACTTTATTTAGCCTATTTATAAAAGGCTTATAAAAACAGGATTTTATAGTTATTCTATAGGATTTATTTAACTAATTTATTTGTTTTATTAAAATTATTATTATTTTAAAGAAAAAAGAAGATATTAACTTTAATATTAAGGTTTTAGAATATTTTTAAATTAACTTGATTTTTTTATTAAAAAAAGGCTTTAATATAATATTTCTTTTTTATTTTATTTTATTATATAATTTTATTATCTTAATATATTAGAATATTAGCTTTTATATTCTATTTACTAGATCTATATTAGATAATAAAATAGTATTTAGCTAAGGCTTTAGCTTATTTAGCTTATTTAGCTTATTTACTTATAAGCTTTTTTATTATTATAAAATATTCTAATATATAATAATTTATATAAATCTGGATTTAATAAATAATTCTTTGAAATTCCGGATATTATTAATTCAAAAATTATATAATAATAAATATTTCTTTATTATATATCTTATAATTATATTTTATAAATATTATTATTATTAAGAAAAATATTATAGAATATTACTTGTTCTTATATTATTAAAAAAGAATACTAGTAATAATATTATTTAAGGTATTAGTCTCAATTATTAATTATTATTCTAGGTTATAATAATAGAATAAGTCTAATAATATAAAACGGGCTTTAAGTTCCTTAAATATATTCTAATAAATCTTATTAAATAAAAAGGAAATATTTATATATATAAGATTTATTAGAAGCTTAATAATTATATTATAATTATAAATAAATTATTTATAAAAGTTATAGAATTCTAGTAAGGCTTATATTTCTTTTATAGTTCGTATTACGGATACGGTATTCAGGGCTTGGAAAGCAAGGTAGAAGGTCTCTTATAAAGATGATTCAAAGCTAAGAAAGGGAAAACTAGAATATAGGAGGCTTCGAGGGAATATATATACCCTATAGTATACTAGTCCCGAAGGGGCTTAGCCTTCTAAATATCTCTAGTATATTCCAAGCATACTTCCCTAGCAAGGCGGCCGTATTATATACGTCTAGGAGGCATCTAATATCTGGGAATTATAATATTACTTCCCCCTTCGAAATAAGCTCGTTCCCGAGCTTCGTAAAAACCGTTAATCTATCTAATCTCGTATTATTCTCCTTCCCAAAGTGAACTAGTATCTCAGATATAGACGTTATATATAAAAGGCCAGTACCTTTAATATATAACTTAGGAGGGTTTATTATTATTTCCGTATGATTCTAGACAAGTCTCGTTTTTTGTATAATCTAGCTAGTATTACAGGTTTTATAGAGATCCTGGTATATTAATATTATTATTATAGAAACTTTATAAAACCAGAGGGCTATTACTTAGTACCAAAGCTGGATACTACTCTGGATCTTTGTCCCAACCAACCTACTAGATTCTATATTTCAGCTTATTCCTTACTAGCTTGACTATAATAACCCGTTTAATACCGTACTCTTATTTGCTATCCTCTAGTACTAATAGGGGCGGTTCCGGGTTCGCTTGACCTGGTAGAGGATTCTGGGGGTCCTTTCGTAGCTTCTCTATATAGAAAACTGGATATATCTTTATGGTTTCCGGTAGCTTTAGAAGAAACAAGTAGCTATACTATTCTAGAATCTCAAATGGGCTCTCTATTTGGTTTCCTAGCTTCCGGTTTGGATAATCAGATTTCTAGTACTTTATAGTAATCTATACTTTGTCCCCGACTTTGAAATCGATCGGACGGCAGTATTTATTAGCTTATACTATATATCATTCCTATACTTATTCTATATAGCCTTGGGCAAGTTGCTATAATTCATATAATCGATTTACTAATACTTTAGCTTTATTCCTATTTAGCTTCTCCTTGAGTAAGCTAGCTTTAATAGGGGAGTTCTAGTCTAAAGAGGTATAAGGTTCATAGCCCTTTTCTATTATAAATAGGAACTGGCTAATAGTTTTATATTAAAGGGAGGCTTATTAATAATTAATTATAGTAATCCATTCGTCCCAGTTATCCTAATAATAGTTAATATATGAATATAATCTCTAATTAAAATACTAATTAATAATTTCCGTTTATCTATCCGTTTGAAGGTAATTAGCTATTAAGAGCTTGAGCTTAGTACCGATTCTTATATAGAATTCACTCCAAAAATCGGATATAAATTAGGGTCCTTAATCTAATATAATTATTTCTGGAATATCTACTTAATATATTATATAGAGTAAAAACAGGAGTACTAGCTACTTAGCTATAATTATATCTTATATAGGAATTATAATTAGGTATTTAAATAAGTAATCTATAAATATAATAACTATATTATAGCCCGATTTGCTTTCTGGATAGCTCTTGAAGTCTATAGTAATATATTACTAGGGGCAATTAGAAACTAGAAGGAAATAAAGCAAACCAGGCTTCTTATCTCTAGATATATATAATCTTCTATAAGTATAGTAATTACTATAGTATTAATTAATATTCTTGCCTATAGATAGCTAGTAATATTACTTCTTTAGTAGCTAATAGAGCTTTATATATTTAGGATATCTAGAAAGGAGTTTATTATATATTTTACGAATTAGGGCAGTTTATAAAGATAGCCCGGAAGTCATTTCGTTCTCTATAATATAGAGTCTTCTATAGTATAAAAGGAGGCTGTTTTATAGTATTCAGATATTACTTTTAGCTTGGGCTATTATATATAGCTCTTCTAGATCCGGTAATATATAATTATCTTATAGGATCTTATTTATAAGTTATAAGCTGCTATACTCGATAGGAGCTTCTAATAGTACTTCTATAGAAGTAACTATAGTAGAATCTACTAATAAAGCTTCTAAGATAATATTTTTTTCTAGGAGAATTATACTTCTAATAGGGATATTTCCTTCTGGAAAGTCTTTAGTATATATTTGGTTTTTAGAGCCGAATTCCGGATTAAGTAAGCCGACTTTATAGAGTATTACTACAAGCTATAAATTATAGATAATCTCCGGATTAACCTTATTTCTGGAGAGAAGTACTTGAGTTTATAGCTTTTCCTTAATCTGGCCTTAAGTATCTACTTTATCCTGTTTTTGTAATAAAGTATTTATTTACTTATTCGATTTTCCAGAACAATATATAAGCTTGAAGTAATAGTAGAATAAGAGCTCAGCCTATCTAGCTTATTAAGAAGAGAGCTTCTTAGTAGTTATAAAGTATTCTAAGGTATAGTAATTAGAATAGATCTTAAAGGAAGTATCCTAAAGGCCCTCTAGCTCAGCTTTCTATTCCTCTAGTACTTATACTATAGTAAGTATCTCCTTGTTATATATATTATAATTGAGCTTTACCGGGAGTATAGTTTTAGAAAAATAAGCTATAGAATACCAAAGGCCTGTTTCTGGGTCTTATTAAAAAAATAGGCTAATAATTATTCTTTTAGATATATTTATTTCTACTATTATAGACAGATCTGGATTATAGTATTATAGAACTGAGATAGAAATTATAGCTTCCTTTAGGCAGGTAAAAGCCTTTTAATATTATTCGGACTACTTAAAGGAAATATTCTTTTTTATAAATAAGATAAGGAATCTAGTAATTTGTTTATACTCTCTAATAAAGTATTTATAAAAGTTATAAAAGCCGAGGAAAAACTATATACTCTTAACTGTCTTTAGAGGTTACTAGTTATATATTATTTTAACTTTATTAGGATCTATTTTAATACTAGATATAGAGATAATAAAGCCTAAATACTTTATATATATAATTTTAAATTCCGATTTCTTAATATCTACTTAAAGGCTAGTAAGATATAAATAGTCTAATACTTTTTATATATACTATTCGTATTTTACTAGATCCTCTAAGTAAATAAGAATATTATTAAGATATATTATATAAAAGTTATCTAGATATTTAAAGAATATATTATTTATATAGTACTAATATATAGCCAGGCCATTTATAAGGCCTTTCCAGAAGATATTATATTTATATCTTCTATAGTAAATACGGAATATTATTAGCTCCTGAGAATCCGGGTCTATAGCTATATAATAGAAAGTTTAATAGATATCTAATTTAGTATAAATCTTGGCTTTAGATAATTAATTTAAAGTCTTATTAATAAGTAAAAGGGGATATTAATCCTTCCGGATAATATTATTCAGATAATAGAAATTAATATAAAAGTATAAACCTCTATTTGCTTTCTTTATAAAAAGAACTAGTAAAATAAAGGAAGCTTAACTAGCTTTAATAAAGCCCTTAGCTAGATTATTTTCTAAGAAATACTTGATTTCTAGAAGCTTTTAAATAGACTATTACTAGAGAGGTTAGTATCTAATATTCTTAGTTTCTTTTAGGCCTTTAATCTGAATCTTATAATTATATAATCTATAGGGGGAAAGGATATCAGATTTTTTTTTTAGAGAAAATAGAGGTATATTCCTTAAGTTCCGGAGGCAATATTCTCTAGAGCTACTAAAGCTCTATTTCTCCCGGTTATTAATCTTCTGGGTCAGGAATAGCTTCTCTTTCCCGAGTTTTAAGCTTTTTATTAATCTTATAAATAGAGATTCGGCCAATAATATTCTCTTCTTTCTTGGCTATATAGTTAAATACTATAGAGGTAAGAATAGCTAGATCTAGTATTTGCTTCTTATTAAGGATTTCTTTCTGCTTCTTTGGCTTTTACTTGGGTATTATATCTTAATTAGGCTATAGAAGCTCCTTTTCTATAGTATTATATAATTCCCTCTAATTAGTCTAAAAGAAGGAAGACTGCTTTAGAATAAAAGATTTCCAGAAATAGCTTATAATAAAATCTCGTTAATTAGTATCCTTTTAATACTTTTTATTAGGTTGTTTCTCTAGCTATTACTATAAAATACTAATAATAAAACCGAATTATATAGATTTAGGCTTGTTTTTTTTTTAGCTATATAAGCCTATATCTTCTATAGTTAATTAGAATATTAATATATACTATCCATTTTCTATTAAGGATAATATTATAATTTCCAAGATTTAGGATAATTATAGGTATATTAATACTTCGTTTATTAATTAGAAATAAGACTTCTATATATTTCTTAGTAAACTCAACTAACTTTCTATTAAAACCGTATATAGTATAGGGTAAAAAAAAGAAGTTATAGTTCTATTCCTAAGAATTACTTTATAAGCTAAATAAGCTTTATATTAATAAAGGTATAACTATTGGCTCTAGTATTAATAAGGGAAAAAGACTTGATTCCTAATCTATTTATACTAATAGTATAGGGTATTATAAGAGTATTTCCTCTTATTAGACGAGTCAAGTTAATCTCTACCAAATCCATACTATAAGCCCCTAAAGTAAAGACTTTCTTTAGGAGTACTCGTTTTCCGAATTCTCTTTAGATTCAGAAACTGAACTATATAGTTCTTCTAAAGGAATAGGAACCAGGTTTGGCTTAATCCTAGATAAAGCTATTTTGGTTTCCTTATTATATAGATATAAGCAATATCTAGTATAGTAGCCGAACTTATTATAATTAAAGTATTTAATAGTTAAGAGATCCTTAGTCTTTATAGGGTATTACTTGTATTTATATAAAGGTATATATTTAATTAGAGTAGTAGATATAGGCTCCTAGGGTTCCTTTTTAGGAATATATAAGAATATAGTACCGGGAGTAAACTTGGCTAGACCGGCTCCTGTTTTCTTATACTTTTTAGTCTTTTTATATATAGCCTTAATCTATTAATTATTAGTAGTATAGTACTAAGTAAAGCGAGTAGTATTAATAGAAGAATTATTATAGTATATATATACCGATTCCTGGAACTTTGGTAGGAGTTTCTTATTTAGTTTATATTTAATATTTTAAAAACTAATATTACTTTCTATAGATAGTTATAAGAAGAGAATATAAAACTCCTGGAATATCTAACTAGAATATATATAAAGCTTACTAAAGTTATAGTAAGTATTCTATATCTTATTAGGGTTAGAATATAGCTCCTTTAGATAGAAGTAGAACTCTAAAAGCTAATAGTACTAATTCGGACTATCTTTATTTATATAAGAGTTAGTTAGAATAAGAGTATTACTAGTAAGTTTACTAGAAATATAAATAATCTTAAGATTTTTTAAAGAATATAAATTAGTATTTCCTTATAGCTTATTCTTAATCTGAACTAGCCAGTTATTAAAGATAGTATAATCTCTAGTAAAGAAAGTTGGATCTGGGAGCTTAGTAATTCTAGTACTTCTAAAAGAAATATAAAATATAGGGGATCCTGGACGGGAATAAGTAGAAGATAGTTTGGAATTCTTTTAAGAAGGGTTCAGAATAGCCGGAGCAGATAGAGTAGAAGCAGTTAGAGCTATTATAAGCCGATCTATTATAGCCATATAGCATTTGACTTTATCCTCGAGCTTAGTATTATAGAGCTTGGTATTCTCGAGAATAGCTTTATTATAACTATAGGTATTCTTATATAAAATAGTTCTTTAGATATTTTTCCGGTAGCTCTTTATAATAATATTAATATCTAAGAATAAGATATCGGGTTCCTTGGCCTATTTATATAACTCTCCGGTAGTAATATAGTCTTTAGTCTCTAGAAGCTTTATAATAAAAGCAGAGGGTTCTATTTCTATAGACTTGTTTATAAATTTTCTAGAAATACTAACGGGATATTTAGTTCGAGAAGGGCCGCTAACGGAACGACCTGAACTAGTAGGAGCTTTACCGGAAGCTTTAGTAGAAGTTAATATAGTTCCTGGTTATATAGTATCCTGGGAAGTTGACCTATTATACTTTTCCTCTACTATATCCTTTCTGGCAGTCTTATTACTAATATATATATAGGGCCTATAAGGTTATAAGATAGGGCTTGAGGGTAGTAGTTAAGTTACTGGCCTATAGGTGCCTATTACTCTAGGACTTGATTAAAGAATAGCCTTTATTCGAGATTCTTCGATTTTCGGGTTTTCGGAAGGGTTTCTAATATACTACTAGTATATATTTATAAAGGTATAAATACCTGATTTCTCTAAAGGCTCTAAAGCTTTTTGCTTTTATCATTCTGGAGTTTATTACTTATATTTCTAAGGTTCTATTATTTTAGTAGTATTTATATTTCTAATAGTTCTAAATTAGTTTATTTGAAATCCTCTATAGAATTAAAAGAAATAAGCTTTAAATACTATTACGGGTATAGTATTTAGGGCTTGGAAAGTAAGGTAAAAAGTCTCTTATAAAAACGATTTAAAGCTAAGAAAGGAAAAACTAGAATATAGGAGGCTTTAAGGGAATATATATACTTTATAATATACTAGTCCTGAAGGGGCTTAGCCTTCTAAATATCTCTAGTATATTCCAAGTATATTTCCCTAATAAGGCAACTATATTATATATATCTAGAAGGCATCTGGTATCTGGGAATTATAATAGTTCGAAAAGCTTTCTAATTCTTTATACTAATAACCTTTTTGAAATCGATTTTAATACTATTTATAGAAATAATAAAGCCAAGATATTTTATATATATATAATATTAAATTTATATTTCTTAATATTTATTTATAAGCCTATATTCTAGATATATTAAATAACTTTCTTTATATAAAGTTCGTATTCTAGCTTATTATTAAAATAAATAAGAATATTATTAAAATAAGCTATATAAAAGTTCTTAAGATAATTAAATAGAATATTATTTATATAATATTAGTAAATAACTAGCTTATTAATTAATTTAAGAAATAAAATCTTATATTTATATATTCTATAATATATATAGAATATTATTAATTCTTCTAATTTAGAGTTTATATAAATATAATAAAAAGCCTAATAAATATTAAGCTTTATAAAGATTTTAGTTTAACTAATTCTAGCTAAGGTTTTATTAATAGAAGAAAGAGAATAATAGTTCTTATAAGTAATCTAATTAAGCTTCTAGTAATTAATATAGAATTATAAACTTCTTTTAGGCTTTTTTATAAAAAGAATAAAAGCTGTAAATAGTAACTAGCTAGAAATAATAAAGTCTTTATTAAGGTTCTCTAGAAGAGATTTCTTTATAGCTTCTAATTTTATTATTATTATTTTATATAAAAGCTATATTTTAGATATTTCTTTATTTATTTCTCTAATTATATCTTATAATTATATAACTAATAAAAATATAAAATATTAGAAGCTTTTTTAGAAAAGATATTATTAAACTTATTATATTATTTAAAAATAATAAAATCTTTAATATTAGCTTTTAAAAGAAACTTTTTTTATTATTCTAAAAGGCTATTAATCTTATAAAGGCTTATAATTAAGGCTTTATTCTCGAATTATTAGAGGTTATAATATATATTTATAAAGCTAATACTAGTAATCTTAATAATAAAAGCTTTTATTAGCTTTTTTTCTATATATAATCTCTTTTAGTATAAGGTATTTATAAAATAAATAATACTAGTTAGAAAGTTTTCTATTTAGTAATAGCTATTTTAAATATTTTATTTATAAAAGTATTTAATCTTTGGCTTTTAAGAAATAGAAGTAATTAGTACTAGTTTAGGCTTCTTATCCGGATCTAATTCTAAATTAGTAAAATTATATTTAGAAGCAATATTATTAATAAAGCTAATATATAAAGAAAAGTTAATAATAAAGTCGTTTTTTATATTATAGTTCTCTATAAAGGCTTATTTCCTAGCTATTATAGGAAAGAAACTATAATAAGATAAAAACCTATATAAAGTATACTAGAGTATAAAATATAACTAGATAGTAAAATAATAAATTAAAAACGTAAATAGTAAAATATAAATAGTATATAATATATAAAAGCTTAATTAATTAAATATATATAAAGGATTATTCTCTAAGTTTATAGAAAAACCAGCTTTCTTATATAATTTCTATAAGTTATATATAAAAGGCCATAGTCTTTATTATATAACCTAAACCTCAAAACTACTAAAATAATATAATTTTTAATAAATATAGCCTATTATATTATATCTGATTCCCTATTTATTTATATTTGTTTCCTAAATACCAAAAATAATAGAAAAATCCTATTTAGAGTCCGAAATAATAAAATATTCAGGATCTTCCTCTATTAGTTAATCCAATTTCTTTTCTATATACCTAAAATAAGATTTATTATTTTCAAATAGTCTTATTTTATATTCCCGAACTTATTTAAAGGTAATCCGAACCCGCTTAGCTATATTCTTATACTAAATCCGATATAGTTCTCTATATTAATTAGTATTCGCCTTTAACTATTACTCAATTTCTGCCTTTATTATAGGGTATTAAGGAGGCTTATTATAGTAAATTATATTATAAATTATACTAATATATTCTAAACAGATAGCTCTTTTAAATTTCGTATTATTTACTATATTCTTAAATCGACTTTTAATAAGAGGAGAAAGCTCTAAGTAAGAGATTTTAATAACCTTATAGAAGATTCTATTTTTATATATTTTATCTTTAATAGTAATTAGACTTATTAGAACTATAGTAAAAGGCCTATTAAATAGCAAATTATTATTAAGCTATTCTTTAACTTATATAGTATCCGAGAACTAATACTTTCCTATAATTCCAGACTTATAAATTATCTAGCTAAAGGTATTTATTTATCTAGTTATATAGATTATATTCGGAGTCTTTTCTTCTATTGCCTTTAGTAAATACTTACTTAAGTCTTTAGCTATTTCTGGCTCAAATTTATCGGAAATAGAAGAGTAATTAATATCTTTAAAGAACTTCTTATTAAAGGTAATAGCCTTCTTATAGTCTATAAGGAAAATATAGCTAATATTCTAATACTCTTTACTAAAATAGAATTTGCTATTCAAAACTTTAGTAGTAGCCAGATCTTTAATATTGTTTTTATACTAATTATAATTAATATTTCCAAGAATAAAGTATTAGGCTAGCTAAGAATAAGTAACTAAATAGATAGGATATTTATTTAATACCTTATAAAATCCAAGCCATATTAATAGATCTATTATTAAAAATTAAGAGATTAAGGTAAAATAGCTATTACTAAGATCTTTATATATTAATATATTTTTTTTTTTAAAGATAGAACTATAGTATCTCTATTTCTTCTATTAAGAGTTTTCGAATACTAAGCTTTTTAATCTATTTTAGATAATCCTTTTTATAAATATAACTATTTATATTTAGATTAGTAATACCAGATTTAGAAATAGGAACTATAGTATTAAATTAGAGCTATAGATTTGGGCGGAATTAATTAGAAATACGGTACTTATATCTATACTTTCTAATTATCTGGGTTTCAAAAAAGAAATCCTGTATTTCCTTATTTATTTAAATAATAGAAATATACTTCTTGCCTTTAGTAACTTTATAGATCTTAGTAGCTAGCTTTAGAATATTATTAATATTATTAATATCTTCTATATTAATAAAGAAAATATTAGTAAGCTACTAAATATATATTATATAGGGAGCTTTAAGGAATTCATTAGTAATTCTATAGTATTCTTATTTATAAATAAGTTCTAAAATACTACTATATATTTCTTTAAAAGTATATTTATCCTATTAAGCAAGTATTAGCTTCTATTTAGCTAGTATCTTATAAGTATACTAAATACCTTCTTTAAGTTCTCCGGATTTAATATTCTTGGTCTTCTACTTCTTGGTTCTAAATATAGATATAGGAGTCTTTCGGGATAGTATCTTTCCCTTTAGTATAAAGGGTTCCTTTTTGCTTTCTGCTATTTTACTAACTTTATATTTAGTCTAATATTTAGATTTCTGCTATTTATTAGAAGTTTTAGGCTTAGCTTACTTTCTATTCTTATCAGGTTTCTCTTATCTAGTTATATTAGTTCTACTAGTCTTACTAGTTCTATTAGCTTTACTAGTAGCCTTCTTACTAGGTTCTATTAAATTAGCTCTATTTTTCTCAGCTAGATCCGGTTAAGTTAAAGCTGAAATTATAATAGGAACCCATTTTTTAGGCTTATTTCGGAAAGCAGGAAAAGGCTTATTACTATAAGCTCTCTTAATTAGAATTCCGGAAGTATTAAAGATATACTATTTAGCTTTGAGGTTATTAGCTAATAATAACTTAAACTCCAATTTTCTATATTTCAAAATAGCTTTAGTATACTTAAATACCTTAATAATATCTAATTTAATAAATATACTAGTATTCTAATACTTCTTATTCTTTATATATTTCAAAGTAGCTTTATTAATTAATTAAATAGCTTTATATATTAAAGCTTCTGTTTTAAAAAGAGAATATAACTTTTTATAGATATTTTTACTAAGATTATTATAGATATTATTAATATATTAGCCAAAAGCTTTACTATATAGTATAATTCTATTCTAACTCTTAGTTTCCAGACCGTTTACTATAGTTTTAATTTTATTGAGTTTCTTTTATCTGCCTTTAGAAATACCTTTAATAATATTCTCGAATTCCCTATTATTGGTTTAGTAATTCTTTAGTTCCTCCTTAATTAATTCCAGTCTAGTTCCATTTCTAATAAAGGTTTTCTATTTCAAGAGTTTATTATATATATTATTTAGCTTGTCTAGAATATTTATATTGAATTCGGTAATTATAATTATCTTTTCTGGTATTAGTAGGCCTTCTATAACTACCTAAGCTCCTTTAATATTCTAAACTTTAATACTATTAATCTATAGGCTTTTAATAATACTATAGCTTATAAGAACTAGCTACTATATTTTACTAACTTAAGAAATCTGTTTTTCGGCTATTTTATTATTTTTAAAGATATTATAAAGATATTATTAGTATAATAGTTATTAGTTATAGAATTAAAGGTTCTTAAGATTATAAGAATTTCTTTTAAATATATTCCAAAATAAAAAGTAAATTAGAATAGGCTTGAATTATATAAAGATATTATATATATTTGAGTTTTTCTTTTTTTCTAATAAGAAAACAAAACTAAAATAGTAGTATATATAATAGGGAAAGTAAATATAATAATTAGATATATTTAAAATAATATAATTATAAATTAGAAATAATTATAGAAAGTAAAATATAGAATTGGGTTTCTATTATAAAAAAGAATATAAATATATATACCTAAGGAAATATAATTAAGGAAATAATTAAGGCAGATTAAACTAAATAATAATAATAGGAAAATAAAAAGGTAATATAATAGAAATATAAATATAGTAATAGTATTTAAAGTATTGAAATATAAAAGGAAATAATGAAAATTTTATAATATAAATATATTCCGATCCCCTATTTATTTAGAAATATTCCTATTAATATAAGAAATAGTATAAAAGAAGAGAAATAGTATAGGGAATATATAAATAGTAAAATAGATAAATATACTAAAGATATTAGGAAAATATAAAATAAATATTAAAAAAAAGAAAATCAGAATAATAGAATTAAGGAATAATTTAGAATAAGGTATTACTTCTTCCGAAACTAATTTGTATTTCTTCTAAAAGCTAATTATATTTATTTAGTATTTATTAAAGTCGGCTTTATATAATATAAAAACTATTTAGTTAATTAGAACTTTAAAGTAATATCTATATCTATAAAAGTAATATTAAATACTTCGGAGGTTATAAAAGAAAGAACTATAAAATAGTATAAATAAGGTTTATAGTACTATTATTAAGTTTGGAATAGTTAATATTAAAGTTAATAT